GAAGTGGCAGCACTCCTGTTTGGAATGTGTGCATCTTATATTGTGTCTTCAGGGCTGTTTTTAGTGCAGATGGTTGCCACTTCTTCCTCCCATGTGTGTTGGCTGTTATCCCTTTGATTGTGGGCATGGTTGCTTCTGTGGTGATGAGAGCCTCCTCTGTTTCTTGTTGTTAGGAAGGGCCTCCTTTTTTGTTCTGTGGTTGCCACCTCCCTGACAGCAGCCAGGCCCGCTCCCCTGTTTTTGGAATAGGGCCTTACAGACCTGTTTCTGCATTGGAGTGTGTGGTAGGTGTGGTTGGAGTGCTTCAGGTGGGAAGGAGAGCTGCTGAGTAAACCTCCGTTAGAGCTGCTCACAGAGAAGTGATTTCTGTGGTGTTGTCTGTCACTTGTTATGCAGGCTTACAGACTCCTCTTTGTTGATGCTGTCTTTGTCCCCAACTTAGCCACAGGAATGTCAGCAACCCACTCTTGTGTCCCCATGTTTCTCTGTTACACAGCAATCAGTGCAGATCCACCCATGTCAGGTGCTAGGACTCAACATAGTGCACATGCAGTCACATCCCTGGATACACAGTGAGTGCCCCAGGATCAGCAGAGACACCAGCCCCACCCCTGTGTGTGGTAGGCAGTTCAGTTACAAGCCTGGATCCAGCCCCACCATGCACCAGAACTTCACCGGTTGCTTGTAGATCTTAAAGGCCGGCTTCACAAAGGCACCAGGAGAGCAAATATGCACCCTCTGCCTGGGGCTGTAGTCAAATCTTAACCCTGCCTGTGAAGTTGTCGGACCCCTGGATATGGATTCAGGTTTCAACCCCTCCACCGCTACAGGAGCAGAACACCAGCATTTTTGATGGCTATGACTGAGCCCCACCTGTCTTCTCATGAGGACACTTCAACAATGGTGTAGGGCAGAGATGGAGGCTACGGCCCAGCTGCATTGTGCCCTCCTCCTCAATGAGCACTAGGAGTGCTGCTTCTTTATGGGGCTCCCAGGCTGTTCTGATCTGCACACACTCCCAGCCACAGCCCACACCACTCTCCAGCCCTCGGAGGCTGCCTGTGTGCACTCAGCCCCAGTCCTCTCCTAAGGCTCATACGAGAAAGCCCAAGGTCCAGCGGCCAGTCCTGGGCTGCCCGCCCCCACCAGCTCGAGTCTAGGGCTGGGGACCACAGAAACCCTCTGTGTTCATTTCTCTTCATTCTGTCTACCCACTGGTTGCTTTTTTTCCCTCCAGGCCTCAGAGGATCCCGTTCTGTCCCTGCAGACCTCCAGGCTGAAGTGACAGGGTCCCAGTGTGAGAGTGATTTTCCTCCTTTGTCCCTCCCTACCCATGGGACCGCTCCCACACTTATGTTCTTTTTCCTTTTTGTTTTTTTATCCTACCAGTCTTTGTGAGGAATCTTCTTGCATTTTGATGTGAGAGATATTCTTCCAGATTTCAGTAGGTGTTGTGTGTGAAATGATGAGTCTGTAGATGTAAATCTCTGTATTCATGGGAGGGGGTGAACTGTGCATCCTTTTACTCCACCATCTTGGCACACTCTCTGGTCAGGATAATCTTAATGCTGTCATGCACGATTCCTCTTTTACTGCAGGGTGGGTCAGCTGCCCTCTCCTTAAGGCCAATTAGTTCACTCCGAGTTAGCGCATCATTATCTGTACCTCTAAGACATTCCAGGTTCATCAGGAGAGAAAAATACATGTAAGTTTTAAAATCTGTGCTGCTCATGTTGGAGGAGCTTAGGCCATGGCTACACCTGTACAGTGAGACAGTAAGGAGGAGACAAAAATAAATCAAAAGCACAGAGGCATTTCAAAAAGGTACAGAAGCCAACATGAAAGAGTTTCCAGTAGGCAAAGAAGCTGAAACAATTCGAACACCAAAATTAATCACATAGTATTCAATTTTAATCAAAGTATAAAATAAATATATATGAGTCACACTTAGATGAATCAATGACTGAATAAATAAAGCATAATTCTTAAAGAATAATTCCAAATAACTTATATAGATACCTCCTCTTTCAAGGGTCTCTCCTATTCCCCGGGGACATTTCCAGTAAGAGTTTAGTGGAGGGTACATCTGTTCATGTTCATGGATGTGAAGCTTAACTTCCTGTTAAGTGCAGCTTGCACTTATGGTCATGGAAGAACTTCCAGGCTGACCTTGAATTTAGCAATGAGCTTTTAGACATAACACCAAATATATAATCAGTGAAGGAAAAAAGAAACAGATAGACTTTGCTGCATCCAAGTGAAATGTTTTGTTTTGAAAATGATGCTGGTGAGTGAGTGAAAAGTCAAGGCATAATCTAGGAGGATATATTTTCAAATTGTGTATCTGTACCATGAATACCATGAAAAATATGGAAGAAGAGAAAACGAATACACCAGTCGAAAAACAGTCCAAAGATCTGAGCAGACACAAAAAAGTGTGCAGCATGGTTTTCATCAGGAAAGTCTACTTGTAGACAGCCGTGAAACACTACTGCCCATCTGTTAGAACGGGCAAC